CCCCCCCCACAAAGTCAGATACGTGGGGGGCTATTCTGGGCTGCACTCCCTGCAAGGGTATGGGCGGCGGTCGGGCGGCAGGCGGGCGTTCGGCAGGGGGTGGGGCTATCACATGGCCTTCCACGGCTGCCGTGGACGCTGCATGTAGGTCAGTAACGAGGACGGACGCAGCCCCCGTTTGCTCCAACACGCCAGGAGATCACACCAACCTCCACTGCCTTGGAAACACCTCAAAAGCCTCTTCAAACGCCCGCCCGGGGTCCCCGAAGGGTCGGGAGCGTACTGCGCCCGTCACGACAAGCCACCGCCGCCGGTGGGGCTGGGGAGAGTCCCGCGCATCCCAAAATAAAAAAGCCTGGCTTGCGCATTTGCGAAAGCTAACATCTGCTGACGGCGAGAAGCACAGCGAGGGGAGGAAGGGGGCTTGCGGGGGTCCGCGTCAGCGTCAGAACTCTCGGGTGGCACCACGGAGACCCGCGGCGGGAACACAGACCCAGAACCCAAAGCCTGTGATCAGGAAGCAGGAGACGGTGAGGAGAGGGGCTGCCAGAGGCCTCTCATCGCGGCTAAAGAAAACGTTAGCACACAGCGGGCAGGGAGAGACAGAAGGAGATGCTTACCTTGAAGGGAAGAGACATGTCACTGCAGGGGCTTATGGGTAATGAGTGAAGACTGCTTGCGGGACTCGTCTCTGTGCTCTGAAGAGAGAGATAAAACTTACAACTTACTTAGTATTATTTTACAGAGTGCCATTACTAAGGAACGTCAGGGTAGGGGGACAAGGAAAGAGGCTGAGGAAGACAGAAAGCCCTGTCAGTCTCCTTCAAAAGGTTCTAAAGCAGCCATCTGCCGTGGAGGAACCTTGAGCCCAGTTCCACTCACTCCAAAATCATCTCCAAAGCTTGAAATCTATACTCATCCTCCACTGACAAATGAACTTCTTATTTTATTTATTTTTTAAAGAAAAAGGGCAATTTCCCCATTCCTTATCTAATCTCACACAAGATAACCCTGGCTGCTCTGATCTCCACATTCCATTCGTGGAATTGTGGGACCATAGCGGCAGCACAGAAAGGCACGGCCTGACGAGGGTCAGAGAGGGAGGCGCTGGACCCTCGGTGCGGAGCGTGACCCAGGAACACACCCGGAAAAGGGAAGGAGGGCTGGATAAACAGCCTGCGGCGGCGGCCGGCTCCCCAGATCCCCCGGCATCCCGCGTCACCGGCACTGTGGCCACCGCCTCAGGCTGTGGGACTGTCACCCTGACGCTGGAGAGATGCCCGCGCAGAGCGGCGGAGATCGGGGACGAGCAGGGACAGCAGAGCACTGAGCACAGGGCCGGAGGTCAGACAAACAATGACGAGAAGATGATTAAGTAATTTCAAGCTTTTCTTAGTGGGTGGTTTAAGTACAGTGATGTATGATGGGAAAATTTGCAATTTAATGAGAGTACGGGGTCAGCAGTGAGGACAAACAGCATCCTCTTTAATATTCATGTGCTTCTGCCGGGTTTATTCCCTGGACCTCCCGTTACGGCCCCTTAATTGCCGCTTAGGTCTGGGTCTGAGAGGGATTTGTTTGTGCGCGTCGCCTGCTAGCGCGGGAGAGGCACGAAAATAACGCAAGGCAAATATTTTTAAAGATGTAACATAACAGGCTGACATGCGCTGATGCTGCGAGGATGCCGGGCGCGGTGACTAACCGCTTGTTTACTGGGATGACTCTCAAGTTCAGCAGCAGAGAAGCGGCAGCAACCTCCTGGCAGTGATGTAGATGCGGAGAACATGGCCCCCTCCCAGAGCACAGCCCGGGACATGAAAGGCCTGCCACGCTATCTGCCTCAGAAAAGCCTCCTCCTTCTTCTCCTCCAAGATGAAAGCGCTCGAGGATCCTACGAGAGCAGCGGCTGCAGGACCCAGGAACTAAAGCCAATGGGGAACTGGGGCCTGAATTCCTCAAAGAGCAGGTCCGGCACTTTACCCACGAATTCCGCTAACGCTGCAGCGGTGAGGCCGTAATGTAGGCCGGCTTCCCAGATCGGAAGCGGACATTCCCCAATGACTCGTTGCACTGTGGACAGCCCAGATGTAGGGCACCTGCATACCCATAGTTACGAAACAGGCGTCATTGCGTTTTGTTCCCCCTGGTGTCGCTTCTCCCAACTCAGATCCCGTTTACCGGCCAGAACCGCAATCGTCCTCCAAAAACCACAGTGAATGACATTTGCCAGGCTCTTGACCAAAAACATCCAGCTGGACAAACTCGAAGTTCACCCATTCATCATCTGGAGGTCCCGGGGCCCCCGGCGCTCCGGTCAGACGCCGGCCTCCAGACGGGTGACATCATGAAAATGGGGGTCGCTCACCTCCTGAAGCAGCTTGCGCAGGCGAAGCAGCAGGGTCTTCACAGACGTGCAGTCCTGCATCATCAGCCGCAGGGGCAGCCCCTCCAGGCCCAGCAGCTCATCGTCCCGGGGAAGGCAGCAGTCGGGGGGTAGCAGGGAGGTGGGCCGCACAGGCTCTCTGTAGAGTAGGGGGTGTGAGAATCACCCTGGGGAAGGAACGCCTACGGACGTGGAAGGACCAGAGCGGTAACCACACAACCCCCCTCCCCAGTTTGGGCTTAGTGACAGACGACAGCGCCCCCAGGCACTCACACCTTAGTATGGCACCTGGCCTTTATTTCACACCAAAATTAGCTATGGTCACCCCTGCCTGCTGCTAATGAGTATCTCCCCACTGCAGGTGGCCATTTCAAACCGGGGACGGCGAGGATGGAGGCCGGAGCCACGTTACAGCTCCCACATGGCAAACACCCAATCAGATACAGACCCTAGGGCCTCAGATTCACCTGGCCCACATCAGCAACTGCAGGAGCGAGGTCTCACGCATGTGCAATGCAGTGCCACTTCCTCATGAAAGCTACCTCAAAGGGCTGCAGAATCTCCAGGTCCTGACTGCTCCATGATAACCCCCCGCCAGCAGGTACAGACCCCCGACCGCAGGGGTCAGTGACGGTCGCCCAAACATCGCTAAGTCCCTGCTACCCTTTTTCTGCAGCTTACGGTCACTGAAAACTTCAGAAAATTCATTTTCCCTCTTCCGGTGGCCTCGGATCCATCCTGTTTACCCCCCCCCCCCCCCGACCCTGCCGCCCACACCTCCGTCCCGCCTGGATGTCAGGGGGAAAAGTACGACTCCAGACACTGACATTTCCACATGACATTTACCAACAAAAATACGTGATTAAAGAACCCAAACTTTCCCTGTCTCTCTTCACCGATGTATAGCAGCGGCGGGGAGAACTGACAGGTGGTGGCATCCCGGGGCGGGAAACATTCTGCCCATGCTCACATGACCAGCTGTGCCACCATATCGTCACACAGCGGTGCTACCAGGATGCCATCCAGAGGAGGGCATTTGGGTATGCTGGGTGGGCACCAGTGTGTGAATTACGCCTTAAGGTTGTTTTTGGGGGCAGGGCCACTGTTCGCAAGAAAGGGTCCCTTGCATATCCACATGCACAAACTCACGTGCGAAGAGCGGTACTTTATTCCTGGGAGCACGCGCACACTTACAGCGGCACACGTGGGCTCACCGAGGTCACTGGCACAGCGCCGAAGGCCCAAACTGGGTCTGTTACTGCTTATTATGGCACATTAGCGACGGCTCCCAGTCACGTTTCATTCCCACCGAGAGATTCCTGGCAGCAGAGTGATACGAATTTCTATTCAGGATAGAGCGGGCGCGTATATGGGCTCCGGGCACTCTCAAGGTCCAAATGAAGCCAGGACGTCCTCATGCACAGACAGAAAGCCATGAAGGCTTTGAAGTTACGGCGCGCTCATGCGGTAAAACGTGCCCTTATGAAGAGTGCGATTTATGGCTCTTCACGCCGGGAATAGTGTGAAATGGGCCGATTTTCCTGCAACGTTATTTCCCGAAGAAATATTCTGTAATGACACCTAATATGCAATTCACAAAATAATTTAAGAGTGGGGGGGGGGGGAAATGAACCAATACCCAATATTACTTCCATGTAGAAAATGAGTAGGCAAACTGTCAGGATCAGAAATGCGGAGTAAAAAGATGTATGTGGCTTTTCATACCAAAGCATGATGAAAAAGCTTGTTTTACAGACATTTTATTTTGTCTAAAGTAAATCAGTATGCAAGGTAAAAATATACTTCAGGGAAGGCAGGGCAGTCAGACTTCATCGGAAGATGTTTCAAAGGGGTACTTTGCAGAGGCTGCTCTATAAACCCACACAGGCCCCCCCGACAGGTGATCAAACCTCTACAGACATCAATGTCCCCGTTGATCCTGTGTGTCCTTTTCCCTCCTTGACCGAAATGTCTGCCTTCAGGCCTGTTGCCCAGGTCAAACCTGGTCAGGCAGATAAGGTGAGAGGACCCAGGGCATGAGGACCCTTTGGCAGGACCTGGGAGCCAAGACAGGCCTCACAGATAGTGGTTTTACACCAGGGGTGGGCAATCTTATCCGCAAAGAGCCAGGGTGCATGCAGGTTTTTAGGATAACCTTTAGGTCAGCTGTTCAAACCCAGCAGTGAGGACTCCGCAGCCAATCAGTCCTCTAGCAATCTACTTAGGGAGTTGCAGCGAAAACCAGCATTCACACCCACCCTTATTTTACACTCTGCCCGATTACACAGCCTCTTATTTACTGGGGCATCTGGGTTAAGTGCTTTGATCGGGTTGTGGGGTGGGGGGGTAGGGGGGGCAACAGCCGGGCACTTGGTGGCACCTGAAAGAGAGCTGGTAATGGCTCCTCGATATTATTCATGATCATCTGGAAGGACACCAATGCCTTCGGTCGCACTTCTCAGCCGGAACGTCGGGCCTGCTGGAGAAAAGCGCGTCTGAGCCGGGGCCTCGGAGCTTGCGGCTCCATCGGCACAGCTCTCAAACTAAATATATCGCCGGGATGAACTTCAAATTAACTGGAACGGCAACAAGCACCCACAGCCGGGAGAGAGAAGGGCCCACGGCTCGTGCCGTTCGCCTAGGAAAGCGAGGCGGGTGATTTTTACCACCCAGCCATTTGAGCGAGGTATCATAGGAAGGCCCAGGCAAACGGAAATTATTTTTGTTTGATTGAGACGAAACACACGCTTATTTAACATCAAAGCAAACATTCATTAGTCTCTTTAAGATTAAAAGAAACCATTAAAAGTGGGACATGTTTCAGGAGACACAGTCAATCTCTCTGCACCAGCGTGGGATTTGGGAATTAAATTGATAAACGGTACAGGTGCAATAAAAATTATGCATAATAACCATGTTTTTTATGGGAAGGAGCATTAAATGATGTACATCCAAGGAACTGCATTATAAACATAATCTGTGCATTCAGGATAAATTACGTGACGCTGACACTGTGGTAATGGGGGTGGCAGGGCAGTCACGCGTCCGAAGGTGGGTGAAGATGCTGTTGTAGCGATGCTCTGGTCTGCAACTGTGCCTATGCACCGTAATATGTGACACGTTCAAAAATAAGGCTCCGGCAAGTCACTGCATAAGCTTGTGAGAAATACGGTGGGGAAGGGGGATCTTTAACAGGCCACAATCACACCCAAGGGGTCGAGGTGGCACAACCGTGGAGACTCATCAGCTGGTTTTTTCAAAACAAGTTTAACGTGAAGAAACAATTAAATTGCCTTAAGAGCCCTGACAGCATTGTTTCATTTATAATACAAATCCAATATGCTGGGGGCAGAAGCGATTACAGCTCCCTTTCTTTGTTGAAGCCTGCAAAGACGAGAATCCACATTAATGTTACAGTCAGTTTACGGTCATCCCCTGCTGAAGGCGCTGGTACGTGTTTGATGTTTGATTCCCCATTAACAAGTCTGCCCAGGGTCCAGAATGGAGACACAACCTCCTACAATGTCCTAAACAAGCGCTACACACGACACTTTTGAGGCCGCATGTTCTGTGTCAGGAAAGTGGCTTTCCTTAATTAAAAATGTAATGCGATCTATCCATTACTGTAATAACAGCCTGGTGATGTACTTAACATTTAGCCACTGGGTTCCTCTGCTTTATACAGTTTCCCGTCAGCTAACGGACAGGGGGTGAGACTTTCCGGTTGCACATTGCTGACACCAGAAAACAACCTTGACATCTCCGTTGAGTGATTTAAAATCCGGGTCCATGACAGACAGATTCATTTCACAAGTCACAAGCAAAGAAACACTCAGATGTGCGGTCTGCAGACCTACACAGCAAAACACTGAACACGCATCAATTTAACAAAACAGCCATGCTGAGACGAAGGTCAGCTCACAGATGACAACTTGGGGCTTTGTACCTTGTCCCAGCAATTAATTGATTGATGGATGAAATGATTCACTTTATTAATGATGTACCGATTTGAGGAGGAAGACTTTAATCGATTGAGACACTCTGATGGTTTACACCCAGAACAAGCAGCTGAGTTTTCTACTGAAACAGAACCTGAACAGTCAGCTGAACATTGAGGACCCCTGACACACACACATACACAGACAGACCCACAACCAGCTAGGCTGGTGCTGAGTCACCATACAAACACCCCTATGATCCACTTCCTGTTGCATTGCTATCCAACAATTCATCTCCATGATTTTCTTAATCAGTTTTCCTTCTTTTTATGACAAACAACTGGATAGATTCTTTGTTTAAAATCTAGCTGATTTCATGCTGAATGAGCTCATAGTAATCATCTCTTTCAACATCATGATGGTAGGACGTGGTGGGGGCTCAGAATTCAAGGAACATCCTACTCATGACTGTAAACGTGGAGCCTTATGCTGAAATCAGTGACCGATAATTAGCAGTAGAACTTGGATGCTATTAAAAGAGCAGAGGCTGGCTGTTACTCTCTCTCATTCACACATTTAGCAAGATCTAGAGGCTAAGACAAAGACCCAGTGAACACAGTGAATAGTGAGATAGATCACACATTGCCAGGTATCCTGGAGCCTGTACTATGAAGCAGGGTTACTAGCTTATCAGGGTAACTTGTCGGATTTAAGGTTGTCTGGGCAAAATATAAGTAAACGAATATAAAGTCCATTTAACCTGTGGTACCTTAAATCCGACAAGTTACCCCAATAAGCCAGTAACCCCGCTTCGTAGTACAGGCCACAGGCCTTCCTGTACCTCAATGTTTATTTCCAAAGGCAGTAGGTAAATGGTGGGGCAGCACAGGGGTGCAGTGGTTAGCACTGTTGCCTCACACCACTGGGACCAGGGTTCAAGTATCCATCCGGGTTCCATATGTGTGGAGTTTGCATGTTCTCCCCGTGTCGTGAGGTTTCCTCTTAGTACTCTGGTTCCCCCTGCCCCGCTCCCAAAAACACACTTAGGTTATTGCAGTTCCAAATTGTCCGTAGATGTAGGTGTGTGAGTAAATGGTGTGTAAGTGTGCCCAACGATGGGTTGGCGACCCATCCTGGGTTGTTCCCTGCCTTGCGCCTGTAGCCTTCAGGGTAGGACACCCTGCGACTCTGAATAGGATAA